GTTCTCTACAGCTGAGAAAGTGGCCAAAACCAGGAAAGAAAATGTTGAGAAGAGCCTGGCTCCAGCCAAAAGCCCTGTGGGGAGAACTAAGACAGAGAAGCCAACAGGGCACTCCAAGGCCCGATCTCCCTGCACTGAGAAGCCAGTGGGCCCGGCCTTCTTAGGTGGTCCACATTCCCCAGGCAATAATCTCCGGCTTCGCTCCAGACAACCTGGCTCTGCTTCAGTCCTGGGCCACCCCCGCCACTGCCCTCGGCACTGTCCTCAAGGGGCTTGTGCCACCCAACGAGGGCCATCCACCTTAGCTCCCAACCCTCACCTCAGAAACACTGAGGTCTGCTCAAGGAGAATACCCAGGGCAATGAAAGAGAGCTTGTAGGCTCCCCAACCACTGCACCCCTTTAAGAAGACTATTGTCATTTCCATAAATGTGCAGGTGGGGCAGAGCACCACCTGAAATACACTCTATATGTCTAAGCGAAGAGTTGTCTGCCTGCTCCTTGTCTCTGCTGTACTGTGTTAAGAGAAGGCATGTGGGAGGCTAAAATGTCCTTCCTACCTAGGGAATGGGCTTTAACCCACATTCAGATGGGTCAACGTAGAGGAGTGCCACAGTGCTCTCTCTTTGGGGAGGTACTTTTGTGTTTATCAAAACTACACAGCTAATATGACAGATGTCAAATCCAGATGATAGAAACTCCCGTCTGCTTCCCGTTTATAAAGGGAAGATCTTTCTAGAGAACCCATCTGGGCACCTGCTCTAACCCTGTTTTCTGTTTATCATCTCCACTGCCTTTCAGCTGCATGAAATGAATGTCACAGTAGGAAATGGAGAGGGACTTGTGCCCTACCCCCAGGAAAAGGTAGCGAGGGGAGCATGTAGTTGGAGGTCTGACAAAAGGTGGCACATTCCTTAGAGAAAAGCCAGTTTGCTTGTCGTTAAAATGAGCCTAGAGCCAAGAGGCAAACCCAATGCTCAAGTGCTTTAGGGGAGGGAGGGAGTAAACTCTGAGTTTGGTTCTGGTTGCCCTAGCGTGAAGGGCAGAAAGTTAATCATTGAGGTTTCTGGGAAAGAAACACAAACATGCGGGATTTCCAAACATATGTGAGCCTGTCAAGTGTTAACTCATATAAATGACTGAGGCAAAAACCTCAATCACTGTAAGCTTTATTAAGCCAAGGTTTTATCAACGGGCCTGGGGAAAACACCGAACTGCAGACAAGCTGTGGCTGTTTTTTCCAAAGGGGAGGTTGGAACCTTCTGCATTTTAAATGCATACAGAAAAGGAAAAAGATGGTGTGGCAGGGATTACTGATGAGGTAGTGGTTACATTATTGTGAGGCCCAAGAAACATAAATTTTACATAAAATAAGGGAGTGAAGGAAGCATCAATTATGTAGATGTCCCTGGGTAGATGGAACATTGTCTGAATCTGTCTTATCCCCAGTTCTGTTACCTGTAAGATAAATTTGTAATTCATTATTAGTGTGGAATCTGGATAGGCTTTCATTTTAGGTGCTAGACATAGGTACAATTCACATGTCCTTGCTTATGAGAGGTTAGCAAGAAATTTCCTTAATGAATGATCTGTGGGGCCAGCTCTTCACAGGCGCCTGAGGTTATGATTTTCTTTTTATACTGTTACTGCCAGCATCTTGTACCCAGCCCTACTACTACGTCCTGTGTCTACACCTGAGGTCCTTCTCCAGCACCTTCCTTTCCACAATCCTTCCTCCTTAAATATACCTTCACGGTAACTAATGTTGCTGAACTCAGCTGAGTCCCCTCCCAGGATCTGCCTGGTGCCTCCCCATCAGAGGATGACTCCTGTACCTTTCCCTGCCAAGGCTGGCACCACATAAGCCCAGACCTTGGTTCCTGTCATCCTTCCCTATCTCTTCATTACATCTCAGTGCATTTCTGAAAGCACCAAAACCATTCACTTTGACTGTTAAAAGACTTTAAGGAATGTGTCCTATTAATCAGCCATAGAAAGTGACCCCCCAAAACTAGAATTTAATGCCACACATGAATCTCTAACAATCAGATCAGCTGCTCATAACTGAAGTGGACTCTGGCTCCTTTGCATCTCTCTGGGAATGTCCAATACTTTGCTATTTCAGGGAAATATCTGTTTATCATTAGTGGAACCATATTATGCACAATTCTCTGAAACCCTTGGAATGACATGAAGAAACCCAAGAGGCAAGCTGATATCTGTAAGCAGCTGCTAAGAAATGTAACCCCCTCCAAATGATATCCAGTCCACATTCTGTTAAGGTAGAAAGCCTGGTAGGTGCTCACAGTGCGGGTGGAGAAAGATTTCTCATGCAGAGATTAAAGTACAAAAAGAAAAAAAAGATTATTTTATCCTTCTTAGAGGAGAGACAGAGAGCAAGAGAGATGGGGAAAGAGAGCGGCGAGAGAGAGAGATGGCATGCCATCCCAAAGAAAGAGAAGGGAGATGTCAGCAGCAAGGCCAAGTGGCTTGCTGCTTTTATGGGGACAAAGGAAAAAAATAGTAATTGCTGTGGAGTAATTAGCAGGTAGCTGTGAGAGGTCAGGTTGTCCATCTTTCTTGTTTCTTCTGTTCCTAGAGATTTGGTTATCTCTGAAATGTAGTCAGGCCTATCTCAGGGGATATGATTTTGCCCTGAGATATGGTTTTGGGCAGGAAACTGTGGCCTGGAGTTTACCCCCCTGCTGTCCATCTGAGACCTTCTCAGGAACTCCTTGAGGCTACAGAAACAGATTCTAAAAGCTCTGAGCTGGTGAATGTAAAGAGAAAGATTTATTAAATACATTTCCTTTGTCTCTTTCAGATGTTTATGAAAACAGAGTCCCTGCAGGGTGCCTTCTAGCTTGAGAGAAAAACAGCCAGAGAGTAGGGATAGCTCAAGATTGATCTTTAGCTGTTATCAGAAAATTATGGGATTATGGATTAGATATTTTCCTGTTATTTCAGCAAAGTTGTCCTTACACATTCTTTCTTACACACAGACTAAATAAAGTCCCTCCTACAGACCTGCTTTAGAAGGCCTCTCAGTATTCCTAAAGCTCTTTCCTGCTGCCTGTTTTGTTGAGCCTCCCACCTCCAACCCCAGCACCAATACTGGGTTGGTGATCCACCACCAAAGGCAGCCTCGGTAACCCTGGCCACACAGTCGGACCTCTTCATGGTGGCCATCATACTTATATTCCCTGGAACCTCTGAGACCTAACTGCCCCCTGTCCTTCCTTCTCCAGTTACTTCGGTTGGGGCAGGCACCGGTCTACCTGGAAGTAGAACCGAAACCCCTGACCTCTTAAGGAGTCTGTGGCAGAACAGCATACCTCAAGGATATGCTTGCTCCACTCAATAGAAAGTTAAGTATGAGTAAAACATTTGGTCATCCCCTTCTCTTTGGAAGGAAATTTGTGGCTGAAGTGGCTAAAAAGTGATTTCAGGAGAAGATAATAAAAATGAACAAAGGGCAGCAAAAAATTATAACACAAGGGAAATATTACAAAATTCTTGAGCAAGTGATTTTACAATTTTCAGGCCAAATGTCTGACCCCCTTGGGGGATGTAGGTTTTAAGGTCAAAGTCACAAGAATGGAATGTGGGGAAAAATCATCAGGGTTAGAATCCTAGCTCTGAGATTTGACAAGTTACTTAACATTTATGAGTCCCAGTTTCTTCATCTGGGAAAGGGGATAACTGTACATCCATATCCCAAACCTCAGTTACTGTTAATGTACTAGTGATTCCCAAAGCCACTTTTCTGATCCAGGTTTCCCCTGAGCTCCAAACTGTACAGTCAACAGTTGGGGCAAAACTCCATCTTGCTCCAAGGACAATACAAATTAATTCAAAATTTCCAAACACCCTCCACCCCACCACACTATTTTCTAATGTCAGGGAATAGTATTGCTATACTCCATTTTTTTTGCTCAGTTCACATATCAAGATAGTCACTGAATTCTAATCTTGATATCTCTCAACTTGGCTGCTCTCCTCTATTTTTACTGATTCTCC